CCGCTGCCTCTGCCCGGGAGAGCAGGGGGGATGCAGAGGAGAAGCTGAGCTCATTTGTGCGTGGCCAAGCGGCTGAGGATCGGTAAATGTCAGTAATATGTACCAATCCTCTCTGCAGGACAAACACTGGAGCGATCGCCTGAGTTTGTAAATAACTGGGGACACATAGTACTATGTGTCCCGTTCATTCATGACAATCCTCAAGCCTCCATATAATCACAATGGTTGACTGTCATGGTTAACAAATGTTCGAGAATCACACTGATTGGCCGCTGATTGTTAGTCTGAGGCATGCAACTGTCAGTGACAGCACAGCCTTTGAACAAGCTGCACCCACAATGCAGACTACTAGTTCACAGATGAAATGCAGATCAACATTTTTTCAGACATGCAGAACCATGCCTAAGAACCTTAACTAACATTATTCAGTACTCAAAGGGTTAAATACTGCCCTAAAACCAATAGCTGAATGAGTATAATCATATCATGATAACATTGCTGTAGGGATGCGCCGATACCGATACTAGTATCAGTATTGATGCCAATACTGGACATTTTCACAAGTACTGGTACTCGTGAAAATGCCGATACTAAAAGCGGATACTGACCCTTTAAATTTTGTAAATGGATTCAGCTGCTATAAGGTTCCGCGCTTGCAGGGGACCTAGTGGGACCTGTATACAGTGCCGGCCGCACATCTACCACCTCATGAGACAACATCTATCATCTCCTGAGACAAACTGACTGTGGGACCAGTCAGGAGAGGCACCCAGACAGCAGCCTCTAAGGAAGTTAAAACTCGGTGGAAGGCAAAGATGGCAGGGGCACAGATCCAAGGCAGCAGAAATGGTGGGGGCACAGGTCAGGGGAGCAGAGATGGTGGGGGCACAGAAGGGGAGTGCAGAGATGACAGGGGCGCAGATCATGGGGTGCAGAGATAGCGGGGGACAGCAGAGATTGGGGAAGAGCAGAGATGGGGGGCTCCCCTGGGTACAACAGTTCTGTTTCTGAGATCCGCAGAGCATTCCTTCTCATCCCATCCATAGTACATGTTATCTGACTGCAGAGCATTTCTCTTCATCCCAGCCATTATATGTTATCTGACGGTAGAGCATCACTCCCCAACCCGACCACTGTACATGTTATCTGGCAGCAGAGCATTCCTCCTCATCCCAGCCAAGGTATGTTATCTGACTGCAGAGCATTCCTCCTCATCCCATCCATTATACATGTTAGCTTGCTTATAGTATTGCATTTGCTCTTGCATTTTAATTTTATTATTAAAAAAATGATCAGCCAACTACCACAACCCCCGTGCATACATTTAAAATGGTTTGGTGACCCAGAATTGAACATTATGCTCTAAAAAAGTTTGCTCAGATCTTCTAAACAAACTAACTAAAACACAGAAACATTTGTGAACTGCACACTATATCCCTCATCAACCACTCTCCATTATAACTTGTTCCTTCTCCCGGTTGATTATCTCTGAACCCCCTCCCCCTGCCTTTTTCTATGCTTTCTACTATATAATCCAAACCTGAGATGGCAGTGTACTCTTCCATACCACTGTCACTTGTTTTCAAGTCATATTTCTCTGCACATCCTTTTCGTGTATATTTAGTGTCCATTAAATACAGTAATTCTCATTTCCTCTTGGGAAAAATTAATCCTTACCCTGACCACTTTACTTGTTTAGAGTAAAATAACATCACTTTTTTATCATTGCTGTATTTTTTATCATAACAAATACTTACAATAAAAACATTAAAAAAACAAAAATTTAAATAAAAAAAACTGAAATATCACTTATTTAAAAACAGGCACCCTTATAACAATCTGTGGATCATAGATAGATAGATAGATAAATAGATAGATAGATAGTACATATAGTACATCAATTCATAAATTCATAGATAAATACACATAGGTAAAACTGCAATAATTGTAGTTTAAAGGTGTAAAGAATAAAGCTGCTTAAATAATTGACTGATTGGTAGAAACTGCTTATATATAAGTAAATCATTTTTATTCTGGTGGTATTTTAGCCTGGTTCATGCACCTCGGTTTCCAAAAGCTTTACAGGTGTTCCCTATTTCAGAGTCCGATGTTGTCAAGGTGTTTCCTTTTCATGCGACCATTGTGAGACATATTGACATGGAGTCAGACTTGAAAGGCAAAATAGCTTTCTCAAGGCTATAATAAAGTACAATTATTTGCCTGTTTTCACAAAACTGTTATGCTGCAAAATACTTCACTGGAAGTGTTATGAAATTGAAGTGTTAGCAAATAGAAGAAACTTTCTCAATCAAAACTTTGAAATGTCTTATTTCATTAAAAAAAAATGCTGTGCATCCTTTTTTGAAAAAAAAAAATCCTGTTAAATACTGTTAGCTAAAATTAAACTGCTGACTGGCAGCCCTTCTACTACTGCCACCCAACAGTAAACACACAATTCTCATTCTAGTAGTATTATGGTCCATGTTGATAGGCTTTTGCCAACCATTTGACAGGCTTCTGAGATAATTCAGAAATCACTGCAGCTGCCTTGCAGTTGACTTCCTTCTGACTTCCATTTGACCTGCTACAGCTGCTTTTGAATTCTCATATACATGTTTGGAAAGAGAAGCAGTTTTAAAGCAAATAATAGGCCATTGACACTGGCACTTAGGAGCCTTTGTCTTCCCATATCCAAACTTCAACATCACCTATCTAACAGCCCCTATTTAGATGTAACCTTTTATTTTAAAAGATCATGCACACTATGGTCCCAACATATAAAATCATGTCTTCCCCATATCTCCTAACTTTCTTGGATGAGAAAGAGGGGTACATTACAGCACAATGTTATTAGACAATAGAACCACCCCTACCATGCCCCCAGTTATGCAGAATATTAAGAACATTAAGCATTAATTGTGCCAAAAATGATTGGATTTTAACCATTAATTTCCTTTATACTGACTTTTTAAAATAGCAAAGAAGATAATTAAAAGATGAGATAAAGGTTTTAGTGTAGAATGACATTTTTGGTAGTTAAATAGAACCTTTTTATAGGTATACTGTATGCACCCAATCCTTCCAAATGATGTACAGTCGGGAGGTATGTTTCACTCCATCCTCAAGAGTAATACTGCATCCATCGAGGATCCAAAACCCAAAAACCAGTTCGGAACCAGTTCGGAAATTGCAGCTTGTGTAGGAAAACATCTTCAAACACAGGCCACAATATCCATTTTGTAAGACTGTAGCCTGCTGTGTTTGGCTAAGACAAATCTATCTAGATATCTATCTAGAGAAGCGAATATTAGAATTCCCTTGCTGAATCTTTGGCAGGACAAAATGCAACATTTTCCAATGTAAATTTTTCTTATTGTAAATTAACACGTGCACAATTAAAGCTAAAGTAACTGAAAACTATATATGTTGTACATAATTGCAACTAACATTGCTGTTTATTTGGTTGGCAGAATGGCTATAGTAACAGACGTGGCCTTCATCTTACAATGCAGACAATATGGATATGGAAACTGCTCAAAGAAGAAATGGTGATCTTTACAGGATTAGGAACAACAAAAGAAAATTGTATTCAACCGTACTGTTAGTATTAGAATGTAAACAGCTTTATTATACTTACAACAAGACTCTTTTGGATCAAGAGTTTTATTTTCCACTTAAAGCAGAACATCTGTTTCATATTCACTTTACATAAAGTTAGCCAAGTGTCTTTTACAAGAATGTTAAAAGATTTTCCTGCATTTCTGTCTGTTGGAATTCAGGACAGGTACTTATGTTTACCCATATCAAACATTTATTGCCTGGCACACATTACATCAGTGTATAGAAATGTACGTGCACTCTGGTAGGATGTAAATAGATAGAAAGATAGATAGATAGATAGAAAGATAGATAGATAGATAGATAGATAGATAGATAGATAGATAGATAGATAGATAGATACATAGATAGATACATAGATAGATACATAGATAGATAGAAACAATGGCAGCATTTTTAAAGAAACAAGAATGCATTATTATGTTAGCAGAATTTGGATTTTGTAATAGAAGAGTGTGGTTCTTGTGAAGGCTTTTGGAAAGTGTAGCTAAGTCGGGTAACCCAAGTCAACATTAAACCTCATCATTTTTGATGTGAAGACCCTCTGCCATTCAGTTGTCAAATGCCAGAGCTTCTGCTGCCCAATGGTATGGGACTATGAATGAATGAGGAGGGGCTTAGCACCAGGAAAGGTGGGATTTGTTAAGGTTCAATCCAAAGCTTGGGCCTTGGATGCAAGAGTGTTTTACAGGGATCAATTGGGATGCTAGCATAGCTATTTGCAGTTCATTTCAGCACTGCTGTTACAATATAAATTATAAAATAATTTTTATAAGAAGCCATGATTAATTGGCCAGACTGTGAAGGGTGTGGTAAAACACAACCCAAAATGCATATTGCTATATATGTATCTATAGGCAGTTAGGCTATATGTTTTGCTTATAGATATACTTTAATAAAGAACATAATCATAACCTGTACTCCTTCCTTTTGTATTATGCCTCTGAGGGATAATACCAGAAATACCAATACTTCAATAATTCTTTAATTTGGAATGAAATATGTTGTTATTTCAGGGTTAGAGTATGTAGGTGGTTTTCATTGTCCATGTTCCACTTGCTACTGGCAAAAGAGAGCTTAGAAGGCTTTTCAAACTCAACAGGAAGTGCAGTTAGCAGATGTGTTGTTAATTACAAACAAGAAACAGTAAAACAAGCCCTAACACTTTTATTCAGCACCCTTTGTGCTGGCCATGTTCCACTTTACATCTCTATTAAAGTAAGATACAATGTGCAGTTGCAGCATACAGCATATTTCAGTATGACTGTGCTGAAGGAAGTTACATATACAGCACCATCATTTGATAATGTTGTACCATTTTACTGTATGTATATCTAGAACAGAGAGAGCAGTACAAGTCTATTTTCTTAGTATGAACATACCTCTTAAAGCAATGTGCAGCAGTAAGCACCCAGCAGCTGCTAATGAGAGTAGCTCCACATAATAACCTTCCATCACTATGAGACGATTTCAGCCTTAAAGCTACCTGCCAGGGCCATCCACCTCTGTGTAGAAACAAATAATTGTCACTTACTACACCAGATAAAAATGCAGAGTGTGCTTGTGATTCTATATAATCAACACTGCAGCTTGCAAGATGTTTTTTCTTAGACAAAAAACAGATTATTTTCCAGTTAATATCCCACCCTATATAAACCTATCTATACAAAAGGTTAATCTTTCTTTACAAAAGATTAATCATTGCATCCTAAGCACTTGATAGAAGCCAAATGTTGAAACAGCGATCCTTTGTAAAGGGCACCTCCCGTGCCCACTTTTTACTCACCTTCCCTACAGGTAAACCTTGAAAAAGTTGAATAAAAGCACTGGTGTGTCCTATTTGTGTGGCTGGCCAATTAGGATGTGAAATCATCGGTAAGGGTGATCTGACTACCGGGCATTCCAAAGGATCTACACTGTCCCCTTGATTTGTAATGCCAAACTGCAGAACTGTGAATTGCCAAATCAGCTGCTGAAAAGCTCTATGCATTCTCACACACTGAACAAAATGGTATCCAATTATGAACCATTACAGTCCTAATAGTAAGCCCTGATGAAGGGAGTACTTGTATTTACCCCCCTAAATGTGTTGGCTATTTTTATATAATATTTATACTGATAATATAAGGAGACTGTCAATCTTGACCTCTCATTCGAAGATTCCAAACTGCCTGCCTGAAATGCTAATCCAATGGCTTCTATACCTTTGTAGACCCTAAACTAGAACAAGTATGTAGCTTAAAAGATCTGATTCACTTTGACTTTCCAGTGTGCTTGCTCCAGGTTAGTAATAGATTGACAGGCAACCAGTATTTTTGGCAGGATGTCAGCAATGGCATCCTAAGTATTTCTCCCAGTGCAGGTTTTCTTTAAAGGAGAACTATGAGGTGAGTGATTTTCACTCATCCTCATAGTTCTAGCCGATCGGTGACAATGAGACTGTCACAGGGAGGCTCAGTAGATCGGGAAGTGAGCGAACACATACCGGCGCTCGCTCACATCTCGATCCTGCCACTGCAGGGGGCCGTGACAGGGGAGTAGCTGGATTTCCCCCTCCCCTGTCCGATCCTCCAACGCTGACTGGCGGAACGGACGGGGGAAGGGGCGGGTACAGCTGGCTCTGCCTCTAGATAGGCAGAGCCAGCTGTCACTCACACAGCTGGGTGGGTCCAGACATAATTGTCGGGATCCTTTTCAGCTGCGGCGGCTCAGTATAGCGCAAGCTGATCTCGCGGTATACTGAGCTTTGGGTGACGGGAGGACGCTAGTTTGTGTCCTCCGGTTACCCTTAGGAGAATTAGGGGAAAAAGCCCTAACCCCATAGTTCTCCTTTAAGTCTGGCAGTTTCATGGACAGAACAAGTATAAAAAAAACTAGGGCTGGTAATGATTAAAATTTTCGTGTTCGATTAATCAAAATTTTTTTAAATCGATTAATTTTGATTAATTATAATGCACATACAGATCCAACTACATTGGCCTATACACATACAGCACAGCAATGAAGTAATAAAATGAACTAGGATCACATTAATCCAGCACGTTATTAATCTCACTCGCCCCACTCAATATGGCCGCCGCTTGAGTGGGGCAACTCAGAATAATAACGTGCTGGATTAATGTGATCCTAGTTCATTTTAGTACTTCATTGCTGTGCTGTATGTGTATAGGGCAATGCCTTGGCTGGCACTCGTGCAGAAAGTTTCTTGGGCAAACTCACCAGCCCAAGTGGCTCCGTCGGCTAACGAAGGGGGGAGGAGTCCGTGACGTCACTGGATCGCCGACGGGACTCCCAGAAGCCGGCGGAGAGGTGAGTGTTTTCATTAGCGATCTAAATAATTTTAATCGATCAAAAAGTTTAAGGATTAATCGAGAAATTAATCTTTAATTTCCACAGTCCTAAAAAAAACCTACCTTTAAAGCCCTAAAACTCAAGCAGACAAAAAATGTTTAATAAATCACAATTTTTTTTGGAAGTATTATTTATAGGTTGTTAAATAGTGATTGGGATTTTTTTTTCCATTCAAGTTGTGTTATCATTTGAGTACAAATTATTTTCACTACTTTAATAGGTAGCATTTTTCCCCATGTATGCCACCACTACAACAAGGCAGATGTTCTTCCTTGCCACTATCAAAGCACCTTACTGTGCTCAGGTGAGACCAGGATTTGAAAAGATAGCAGCCAGGTCATTCTTTGACTCCCATATAGTGTGTAAACATAACCTGTGTACAGGTCAAAAAAATGTTATGCACTCCATTTAATAATTTTACTTCGTGTGTTACTTACCGTAAAGAGTTTCTACCACCAATAATGCGTTTAGGTCGCCGATGTAACAATCTTGACCCACACACGAAGGGTGATTCTGTGGATTTAACAAAATCAGAAATTATTTTTTCACTACAAGTTTAAATTTTACAGGCATTTAAAATCATAAAGCATGGCCAGGATGAATGTACATTTGCCCTAAAACCCTGTAGAACTTTCAGTTTAAATGAGCTAAACACACACTAGATGCATCAAAACAAAAGGTGTGTAAAGTCTAAGGGTTAGTTCACACCATAAGCAGTGCGTTCTGGTCCGATTCTGGCCAGAACGCACTGCCTCGCATTGCGCCCGGCTCACTTTTTTGCCGGGCTGGAGGGGGCGTGATGGGCCATTGAAGTGAATGGCATCATAGCCCCAGCCACAATGTGATCAGCCGCACGGGATCGTAAGGCACATTGTGCCTAGAGTGCGGTTTGGTGCGGTGCGATCAAAATAGTGCTTGCAGTGCCATTCACTTCAATGGCCCGCCACGCCCCCTCCAGCCCAGCAAAAAAGTGAGCCAGCCGCAATGCGATGCAGTGTGTTCCGGCCGGAATCGGACCGGGACGCACTGCCTATGGTGTGAACAGTTATTTTTTGTAGAAAGCACTCATGGTCTGAGTAGAAAAGCCTGTCCACCATCACCATGCTGTAGAGAAGGACACTTGCTCTCTGTGTGGAAGCGTTGGTCTCTATGCAGAGGTATAACACACCCCCTGCTGAGTCAGACCTATGCACAGCTTTTGTTTTTATACATCTGGTATGTATTTAACTAATTTAAAGGAAACATTCAGTTGGACTTTAATATTCTGTAGGGACACTGCCATTTTTGAAAGTTCAAGGTGATTGTGGTTATGGAAAGAGTTGAATCAAGGTTGTAACGATATAATTTCATCTATGTAATCCAAGGAGCAGAACATAGATTCCAATGTTTCTTTTACCACCCCCAGAATACCAGACCTGTTTAGACAAGATACTAAGTAAGATGGTTAGTGATAAGTTAGTCTTTTCTAAAAGTCTTGGCTTACTTATTTACTGTTATGTGGATACTTAAAATAAACATTTAAAATTGCAATGTGCAAAATTCCCCAGAAAATGTATTTAATTAGGACATACTATATTTATATAAATTGGCATATGTCATTAATATTAATATCCATACATGTGTACAGGGTAGCTTTTATCTTTATTTATTTATGAACTATGTGCTTATTTCAATTACACAGTGAATTCATGAGGCTTTCCAGAAAAGTCCTCTTCTATCATGGTTCACAGGGATAGGGCCCACCAAACAGCTAATACTGCTTTCACTGGCTAGCTAACTTAAAAGTCCAATTCCAGGCAATTTTTTTTAATTCCATCTAGAGTTACCAGTACCTCTCCCTTACTACCAGATGTCTTCTGTCTTTTGGGTTCAATAAGGAAAGACATGAAATGACAGCATTTCGGGTGATCTCTGATGTCTGACTCTCAAGCTGAGTCAGACTCAGACACTGTAAAGATTATTAAGGGGGTAATATAAACCCTTGATAAGTAAGCCTGCCTGATTATAATAATTTAAATATAAATATTATATCATATTCTTTACAAATCGGATAAAAACATACATTTGGGCATAAACTCACATTATATTAAAAAACAGAATGACATTCTAGGCTTTTATTCTGTCGTCCCTGTTGGCAATTCGCCACATGTGGCGTAAAGGGTTTTTTCATCAACACATGTACTTTCCATCTCTATTTTGGTTTTGTAATAATACCCAGCGCACAAACAAACCTACTCTCAACAATCTTGTATCATTCATTTTAATAGTACTTTCCATCTGTATAGTGAGCTGTTCGTGTTCGTAATTACCAAATAAAGCAGAAAACCTGCTGGTCTAGTTAAAACAGCTATGATATTGTGCAAATCCATTACTGTATAGACTTTAATACACAATTTAAAATGGAAACCAAAGATACAATTTAATTGAGCTCCCAGGGTGTTTCATTTGCTAAATCCTTGACCCCTGTAAAAAATATGGTCTTTTATCGATAATAAAGCTACGCTTATCAATTTAAAAGACTTGCTAAAGTGTTTACGTAAGTGAAAACAGGAAAATATCACTTACTTGACTTGCGTGTTGGTTTTCATCTTCCATCACAACAATTTTGTTAGGAAATTAGAATTATTTTAAAATTCCATTGGGCATTGATCTGTTTCACTGCTATTGAAGCAGATCTGACATTTAGGCATTGTAAAGTGACACATTAATCAAATCCATGTCAACTGTTATATCTATGCTATAGTTATTGAACTCTAGGTAATAAATAGGGTTTCATACAAATATAAACTAATTTACAATATTAGATGACTGTTCTTCTTTATTTATAAAGCACCAACATATTACGCTGTATTGTGCATCAGATAACGATAAAGTGTCAAATACAAACTGCACAGAGAAGAGAGTCTTGCCTGAATGAGCTTGCAATATACAGTTGTCTAATGAAGAGTCTATATACAGTACATAATTCAGTATTGCTTTCCTTACAGGAAGGACTTTTTGTACTTTATTTTTTTAAACAGCAACAGAATATCTTTAATAGTTCATATAATAGCACATGCACGGTTAGACTAAGGGGAGATTAAATAAAGGAGTCACCCCAAGCTGCAGAGAATGGGTGTGGCTTACTATAAGTATGCATGGATTAACTGTGGATTAACTTTAGGGACTATTATTAAATTACACAGCAGCTAGTGAAATAGGCATTTATTTGGAGTAGTTAGCGCAGATTCAGATTGTATATATAAACGGGCCATTTTTTGCTAAACATGTTTTTGATCACAAAAGACAAATCAAAGCAAGCTTTCAAAGATTTCCTATCGATTTTTATAGATTGAGCAAAGCATATGCAATTCACAGATAAAGCATTGTTTCTGCTATAGCTTTCAGGTAAACGTCACCATTTACCCTCTTGCTATGATGTACCCTCTTGCAGAAGGATATATTAAAAACAGCATCTGAATTTGCAATGATGAAGCTATAGTGCATTCATCAGCTCAAAGATGACAGCAATCCTGGCCCTGTTGAAAAGCCAACTACCTCTCACAGGATAAATGTGGCCCGAGGAACTCTGTTTGCTTAGGGCACAGTAACAGAATGCATGCTCCATGTATTTTTCACAATTCTACATTTGAGATAAAATGTAAGGACAAATAGAAAGTTGTTCTTCTTTACAGGACTTATTTCCACTACCTCTCTAAATTGCAACAGGTTATAGGAAAACTTGCTGTATAATTGTGTCTTATTTCTGACCCCTGTTTCAGTACCACAGCCACATATGTCAAAATGCATAGCAATTGTGTTACCGCTACATGTATTTCTGTGCACAATAGAGGGTAAATGGGCCATTAGGAGGTTTCAGCATCACTGTGATGAGCATTGTGTATTTAGAGATGCTTGGTACTGCTGCAATGTGCAAATAGGCAAGACAACAGTCACAAAAATCTAAAACTGGCTGGATAGACAGTGCATATAGCAATTGTACAGCTCAGGTTATATAACTCTCCAGTAATTCACCAGCAAAACACTCCCCAGCATATCTGCATGGATACTACTTTCTGTTGTAGCTGCTATATGGATCCTGTAAAGAGATAGGCACAACAGTGGCTAGTGGGCAGCCCAGAGAGAGGCAAATGGTCACACTTCAGTAAATAGTCTTTACCACTAGAAAGCCCCTAAGTGGGGCAAACTTTAGGAAGCTCTGGGCTTCTGATGTGCCAGTCTGGCACTGACCACAAAAACATAAACACAAACATTTCATAGCATACAATCATAGATAAGCAATTAGCAGTGTAAGCAGCATTTCTGCTGATCTTCAGCTTTTGTACCATGTTTGTAGCGGGTTAGTTCTCACATCTTCATTCTCAAAATTGTTTCACACATGCAAATACAACACAAGAAAACAGCAGTCTTTATACACAACAAAGCAAACTGCACTATTTATAAAACCTAATGAACACAGGCTCATCAAAAACTCTTTAAGATTCACTTTATAAAAAAGAATCAATAGAATCATAATAATAATCAGTCTTTCACAGACTGAATATTTGAAATAGAAAACCTTACGATTCCAACCTGGCAATTTTAGGTTTTAAGAATTTAGACTTTAGATGTTTTAATGAGCACCATGCCAGCTTTCTTCCTTTTAAATACCCTTCAGAGATTTGTATAGAATGGGAATGGCAAACTGTGGAAATAGGGGTATAAATTCTTGCTTTGAATCTTACAGCATCTGATTAGGCTCCTTGTAGCTCATATTCCCTAAAGTCAAAGATGCATGATACTCAACGCATAATAAAAAGCATTAATGGCCTGCAAACCTTAATAACTTAGGAAAAAAACACACTTTTATGTCAGTGGAACTGGATGCTTACATTACCTGCTACATCACAACCTCCACCACAGACTGATGATGAAATTAAATGCAGCTGTGACTCTATTCTTAGAAAATAAGTATCACAACATATTAAAAATCTTTATTAAATCTCCCAGCAGATGAAGCACTTGGTCTTCTGATCCTGCTGCATGATCTTTCAAATTTGTGAATGAACAGTCAGTGCTGTTGGGCTGTGTGACCTATCTGTCAGTGCTGTGTAAGTTTACCAGCAGTTGCAGATAGATCATACAGTCCTGTGCTGTGGTGTGCTGTTTGTTCACAATAGTAAAATATCATTCAGCCGCACAAAGTTGTGATAGGCATCTATTGGCTGCCACATAAAATGCTGTATTAACACCTCCCTCCGGGTGGATCATCAATACCTACTAGCTAGCTCCAATCATCCAAATGCAATCAACACCTTACCTCCAGGAGGTCTCTGACCCCATGCTGGTGATGATTTAGGGTTAGTATACACCATATGGAGTGCGCTCCGGTACAATTCTGGCCGGAACGCACTGCATCGCATTGCGGCCTGCTCACTTTTTTGGGGGGCAGGAGGGGGCATGGCTGGCCACTAAAGTGAATGGCACATTAGCCACGCCCTCCTGCCGCAATGCGATCTCCATTGTGCCTGCAGACAGTCCGGTGCAGTGCGATCAAAATAGTGCTTGCAGCACTATCAATGGCCCGCCATGCCCCCTCCTGCCCCACTAAAAAGTGAGCCGGCCGCAATGCGAGGCAGTGCGTTCTGGTCAGAATCGGGCCGGAACGCATTGCAACTGGTGTGAATGGGGACCTAATAGATTATATTGATTGGAGCAACATTCAGAATGTTTATTCCCAGGGAATGTTTTTATACAAGTCATTTTAAATTGAGAAAGCTAGTCGGATAACCAGCAAAACATCTTCAAGAAAAAAAAAAGAAGAGAACACAAATGAATCTAATTCAAATATTAAAGCTGGCATATATAAAAGTTACACATTATTGCGGCTGTTTAATCATTAATACTTTCTAAATATATTTTTTAGATGCAAGCAGCGTAATTAGCTGAATCTGACCTGGTATTAACCATTTTGCAATCCCTGGACAGAAGGGCTTGAGGGAGTGGAAGCAGCAGTACAAGAAGCCAATCAGTGTAGGTGCTGATACCAAGTATGGTGATAGGAAGAGAAAACAGTGCGGAAGAAAGATGAGCTCATCACTGTGCTGCTTCTTGTTTCACTGTTCAGTCACAGGCAGAGGAAGTGGGTTGACTGATAATGCCCATCAGATTGAGAATATCTAGTTGCAGGAGAAAACTATGACACAGATAAACTTTAGATTGAATGTGAATATTGTGGGCTAATTATTATTATCTCATTATTTTTGGCTGCAGTTCTGCTTTATGTTCAACTCTATTCAGACCACAGTGTATATTGACATACTTTTTTTGGGACCAGTGCACAGCTGGATAGTCTTGCCTGTATAACAAGTATCAGATGATGGGCATATAATTTGTGTATGGATGCTTTAAAACAGTTGTGATTACCTAATTCAAGTTCTAAACCAAAGCAATTACTGTGTAACAGCAAAAGCCTAGAGCTATGTAGCTTGAGATGCATGTTGCAGTCACATTTTGGCTCTCTATAAACTGGCACTACTGTGGTACTGCTAGCTTTAACTGATAATGGGCTCTGGTTATGAAAGTAGGAACACATTTTTCCAGCAGGATCAGAAGTCCAGAACAAAGCCAGGCAAATATTAATACAACATGAAACTTAGAATTAAGCAATAAAAAAATGAGGCCAGGGCAAATAGAAGTCATGTTGGCAGATTTCACTACTTGTGTGCCATACACTATTAACATAAACAACACGATGCTCATTCTAATCAAAACCAAAATGGTTATTTTAGGACAATATCCAATAGACGAGCCTTTCAGAATATATATAAGGACATTTTTACATGAGCCAGTGTGATTTGCATAGCTGATGGGATAATTCATTAAATTGGTCCAAGAAAAACTGGAGTTCTTGTCTATTTATACATGGAGGCTTGGAAATAAAAACTACACTAACAACTAAAAACCCGACAGGTTGTCACAGGCAACTATCCAATTTTACTTTTGATCCAGCCTTCAGAATTTAGACCTAACAGATCTTGTTGTTTGATAATGTTTACTATGCTATAAACTAGGGTTGCACAGATACCAAGTACAGTACTCGGTACAAGTACGAGTACATGTACCGATACCTTTGAGCTCCAAGACTACACTAGAGAAAAATTAAAAAATTATGAGGCAGCTGTCATTTGTAAGGAGCACATGGAGCTCCTGTGATTTGTACATCTCTGTTTTAATGTACGATTTTGTTTTTATAAATATAAATAAAGGGATGCACAGATACCAGTTTTGCGAGTACGAGTACTGGTACTTGCCGAGTACTTACAAGTACGAGTACTGACACATTTTTGTTTATTGTCATGTGACAGTTTTCCTAAAACAATATCGACTAATGATTTCAGGACAGTGGTGGAGCGCCAGAGCCAGGTCCCAGCTGCGACCGCTGCAACCCTCTTAGTTCTCATGAAAATGCCAAGTATCTGTGCTAGTACTCGAAAAGTATCTGTGCATCCCTACTATAAACCTATAAACCTGCACGATTAACTGCATTCTGCCTTTTCCTACACACAAGGCCTAACTACACTGCCTAAAAGTCTGCTAATTATTTCTGCTGTGAAGAAAATGAATTGCACTGTTCAAAGCTTTCTATTGTTTGCAGAAATCTATGATCTTGCAAAACTTCATTTATTCTAGGGAAATAGGCCTATCACCTAGCAACAGTGCCCGTAGCCTTCCCTGACTCCTAATTGGTACTGTAACTTGGCAGTTGCCTACTTGTATCTGATTGAGGCTGTTAATAATGTATCTACTTGATTCTTCACTCCACAGGCTTCAGCTGAACAGCTGTGACTGTGACTAAGGAGAATGTCAAGTAAATGAAGTTTCTGACCTTCCTCTACACACAGTGAACTCATTTGCCTGTGGTCGTCTTCTAGGTACAGCGATAAAAAGGCCCATTTTTAATAAAAACAGTTCAATTTGGTGGAGAGATATATGAAAGGTACTTCTGCTATCATCAAAAATAGAAGACGTATTTATACTTTGCTGTTCTGCTAACGAGATCTGCAGCAATTTTCATGTGATATAGAAATACCCTGTAGTAAATACTATTATGCTATTCTTCCTATTTCTATTTTATTGTATTCATATTCTTGTTCCTGAAGAACATTAGTTAGCTAATCATATGTATAAAAGCTGAAAATATAAAAGCAATCAAGGAGCTTACAAATACTGTGCCCTAGCATGAACAACAAGAACTACCACAATACCCCCATTCTTCCATGTTTACAAGTATATTTTTTTCTTCTGTTTGGGCTGCTTAGAGTTGCCACTGTGTTATGTGCCACTGTGTTTCATTCTGGCCATGTTTTCTTCAGAAACTCAAGAGTATAACAATGAACAGCTCTACAGTAGAGTGAGAGCATGCCAGTCCATTGCACAAGGTGCAAACCATGCCATTTAAACAGCTTCTGTTTAGCCGGATAAGGATGGACCAATAAACTTGAACTAAGATTTAGGAAGAAGAAAGGGCCATCACTGAATACCATTCAACACAGCGGGAGATTCCTTCATCCACGCTGTATAGAGTGAATGGAGCAATCTGTGGTATTTTGTTTAGTTCAACCCACAATATTTTTGTACAGTCAATTCAGACAGGTTACTAACAAAGGTAAAAATATAATTATTGCTGTCTAGCAACTATTGGTACTGTAGCTATTCAGGAGCATTTTAGTCATTCCCTTTAATAAAAAAAATGTAAAGACTCAGCAGACCAATAATGTGATATTAGAATATAATCTGTAATGGGAAAACACCCACACGTGCGTACAGTAGTTTGATAGATCTACTTTCTACTTTTTCAGAAATGTGTTTAGCTTTTATCCGTTATCACCTTACATACAATATAATGTTGAAACAGACAGACATCAATATGTATTACATCTCTAACAATATAACCGCCTTAAGAACTTAATTATCTTTTCGGTACCATGTTCCATACCTTTTGGTCCAGCTGTCTTCATTTTCTTACTTAAGTAGTCACAGATCACACCAGCATCTTCACTATGGCGACAATTGTGTTTTCCAATATCTTGTTTAATACAGTCTGCCAAAGATCTTTCCACCCCTGTACATTTAACATTATCAACGTGAATAGGGCCTTTTCCTTCTCCAAAATACGCCATCGTTCTGGCCTTTGCTGAACCCCTGGAATGTTTGTTAAAGACATAGCATTAGTTAAAGCCACCAGTACTAAGATTTAATATTGTCGCAAAAATGTGGATACTACAAGAGGAAGATGTAATATACAAATAGGTTACTTAGCCAAGAAAATGTTCATTTTCCAAGATGAATTCACACTTTGTAAATATTCACTGAGCTTAGTAATAGAGTTGAAGTTGTGTTCACTTCAATTAACCAATCATGTGCTACCAAAAATCTTGCTCTTTCAACCACTTCAGGACCACAACACGTTAATAAACGGAAAGGTCCTTAAGTGGTTATACCAAGATCACATCTCGGCTTGGTACCGTTTTTTACAGCCAGTTATGGATGTTACATACAAGAGTTCAAGCAGCTGTAGAGTCATCTGATTGCATGTATGGAGTTGGGGAGTGTGTTCCACCCCCTCCTCTGCCAGCTATTCCAGGCTACGCTGTCCCCAATGCGGGCCGGAACCAGCACGGCGGGTCCCTCCGCCTGGATCAGAGAGAGATTAGCGCACTTCCAGTGGCTGATCTCCTCTCCAATCACTGAAACTGGAAGTGAAGTGTATTCTACCACTTCTGGTTTAAGCATGTCATTTGTCCTATGTGGTTCCGGAACTGTGAAACCATGATTATCTAACATCAATAAAGAAGGATGATAAGGGGGAAATCAGTGTGCTGGTGACTTTCATATTCTTTTTGTTCAATGCAGCACAATCCATTTGTCACTTCAGCACCCACCAGAGCAACTTTGAGTGGGATACTGATCAGGAGTAGGATGGGACATCACTAAGAATTATGTTTCTGCCACACATTACATATCACCACAAAGGTCGGAGTGAGAGCAATTAATCTAGGCCCATCACTCACTGTTAACACTAAATCGATAAGCTGTAAAGGCTTTTAAAGCGCCACATATGAGAAATTTTGGGTACTGTTGTTTTTAGCCATTTCAAATTTTAAAGCTGGACATGTTTGGTATCTATTTCTCCAACATAACCCCATATTTTATAAAATATTGGGTATTATATTCTGTTTGTGTATGCTAAAAATAATTCTAAAAAGTATTTATCTGGTGGAAATATTGTGCAACATTAAAAATTGCAACTAGCATTTTTTCATTCTACAGGACCTCTGTTTTTAGAAAATATATAATGGTTTGGGGATTTTAAGCTGCTTTCTATCAAAAATTCAGAAACCATAATTAATGCCTTGATTTTTACAATATAAAACGATCGTCCATTTCTTTTATGTTTGTTTACTTTTCTTGTTCCTTTTTTTTTGTATAGTAAAAAGTTTTTCCATAAGTTTCCATATAGCGGGGAAATAATGCTAATGAGAAATTCTGATTTTTTTTTTCTTTGGATATATATGTTAAAAACTGGTATTAAAACATGCTAATCTTATGGAAAACCAATAAAAACTTTGAATTCAAAAAATTCAGAATCAAAGTTCAAAATAAAAAAAAATGCAAAATAAAAATTTTTGAAGAAAAAAAAATTAAGAAATTGTTCTGGATGGGAAGTGGCTAACATTTCCCATGTAAATGACTGGATATTGGCTTTATTTCAATAACATTCACTTTGCAAAGTGAATATTCACTTTGCTAAGTAAACAGCTTCTACTCCATTAGTAAATCACCCCATTATATTTATATTGACTGTGAAGATTCTTAATCTTCTAAGACCTCAAGGCCTATTACAATAAAACCTGACTGAAGCCAAAACTTTTTATTTTTATTTTTAACAGTGGGGAAGGCATTAAACCCCTTTTAAGGTTTTAATTGCAGTCCCATTTGGGGAGATTTTCCTTCACGGTCTATGTTGACACACAGTCAGTGAGGAGAGATTACACAGCAGACACTTCCCCTCTATTCCTGTTCCAGTGACAATTGAAAATTTGGGATTTTATCTCACCTTTAGACAGCTGCAGCACCTTTTAGCCTGTTATTGCTTTGTAAAGACTTCCCAGCCACAGTTGTTCACATATCCTGTGATTCCAGCCGCAAGAATCCACTGGTTCTTGCTGCAGGGATCTGCTGTTCGGACCTTTTAGGAAATGTGAACGATGCTTAAAACACCAAAAAGTTTGCTGTAGATACACTTTATACTACTGAAAGGGCTATTTACAAAGTTCCCCTAGTGAACTCTTTCCTCTCTTAAATCGTAGCTATTTGTTATACTCTTAAGCAAAACTGGAGTTTGATATTTATTGGAAACAAGGGGAATACAATTAATAAGAAGTTGACATGTTTGAGAGCTTATAGCAAACACAAATAAGTAAGTTATTGTCCTTGGTGCTTTGTCCCTGCTCTTCACAAGTTAGTGGCTTCATACCGTAAGTTTAATTACAGCAAATCAAATAATGAATGCAGAGCACACACCTCTCTGTTTCATTCTTATTCACTTTAAAGTATTTGTAGTCTCACAAAGTTTCTCCTGGAAGAAACCCCTCATGCTTTCCTCTAACAGTAATCTTCTTCAAGGAAAAAAGTGCTAAATTGAAGATCACTACATCTATGGGAAGCAAAATGCTATTAATTATAGCACTTTCCAGATAATTACCTTCACCAAAACCACTGGCAGAAAAACACTAAATTCATCATGTTGTGTTTAACAGCACACTTGAGTATTAGTCAGGAACAGTGTTGTCGTTTATTTGCTTCATTATGCCAACACAAAACCTGGTAATATATTTGTACCTGTGTTAAAGCCAAACTCCAGACACATGTAAAAGATATAAATTAATCCAGTTCCACATGACTTAAAGGATTCAGGAGTCCTCCAGCACTGGTGCCGGTCTCTGATCCAGCACTGACTGCTGTGTCGTCTGTGTCCCACGGAGTCTGTGTGTATGCTCTCCTCGTCTCCCGGCCAAAGATCTGTACTGTGCATGCGCCTGCCCCATCATCATTTTTAGATCTTCGGACAGTAACGCACGGCGAAGACACAGGTAAGTTTAAACCTTTTTCATAACTTTTTTTTAATGTTTTTGCATATACACTATACTGCCAAAAGTATTGGGACACCCCTCCAAATCATTGGATTCAGTTGTTCCGTGAAATTTCTTTGCTACTAAATATTCCACAGTCAACTGTTAGTGGTATTATGACAAAGTGGAAGCAACTGGGAACAACAGCACCTCAGCCACGAAGTGGTAGGCCACGTAAAATGACAGAGCAGGGTCAGTGCATGCTGAAGCGCAGAGCGTGCAGAAGTCGCCAACTGTCTGCAGAGTCAATAGCTACAGACCTCCAAACTTCATGTGGCCTTCAGATTGGCATAACAACAGTGCGTAGAGAGCTTCATGGCCGAGCAGCTGCATCCAAGTCTTACATCACCAAGTGCACTGCAAAGCGTTGGATGCAGTGGTGTAAAGCACACCGCTACTGGACTCTAGAGAAGTGGAGATGTGTTATCTGGAGTGACGAATCAGGTTTCTCTGTCTGGAAATCCGATGAACGTGCCCGGGTTTGTTGGTTGCCGGGAGAATGGTACTTGCCTGACTGCATTGTGACAAGTGTAAATTTTGGTAGAGGGGGATTATGGTGTAAGGTTGTTTTTCAGGGGTTAGGCTTGGCCCCTTAGTTCCAGTGAAGGGAACTCTTAAGGCATCGGCATACCAAGACATTTTGGACAATTTCATGCTCCCAACTTTGTGGGAACAGTTTGGGGATGGCCCCTTCCTGTTCTATAAAGACATGGATGAGCGAGTTTGGGTCCTGACCTCAACCCGATAGAACACGTTTGGGATGAATTAGATCAGAGACTGCGAACTAGGCCTTCTCATCCAACATCAGTACCTGACCTCACAAATGCGCTTCTGGAAGAATGGTCAAACATTCCCATAGACACACTCCTAAAGCTTGTGGATGCCTTCCCAGAAGATTTGAAGCTGTTATAGCTGCAAAGGGTGGGCCGACTCAATACTAAACCCTACGGACTAAGACTGGGATGCCACTAAAGTTCATGTGCGTGTAAAGACAGGCGTCCCAATAATTTTGGTAATATAGTGTAGCTACTTCTTGCTAGCAGTAGATATATGCAAAAACCGCTGAGGGTTTACATATCCTTTAATAGACCATTTTGCAATCCCCTGTACAGCAGAGTTCAGAGAGGGAGAAAGAAAAGCAGTGCAGGGTTGTGCTGCAGTACTCATGTGCATGCTAAGAAACATGGTGATAGGAGGACAGAACATTCTCTTTCTTGTGTCACTGTACAGTTACAAACTGGAGGAGGGAGATAACCTGCAAGTGTTGGGGAAATGGAGCTGCCAGATAGGGCTCTGCTGTGTAGCAGAACTGTGAGAATTTCAGGAATGGGTGGACAGAAATACAAATACTTTTACTGACAAACCAGCACCCATATATGTATTTTATTTGTGCATTTAACAGTTTGGCTGAAATTCTGCTTTAACTCTATAATTTAGTTAGTTATAATTTAGTTTATATCTATACTGCTGACTACATTTTATAAACAAAAACCCAAGTGATCTAAGTCTGCTTTGCCAAGATACCTCTACTCACTGTGTATAATACAAGTAAACAGAACATGTAACCACTTTTTATCATTCAGATGACAGACAGCAGGGAGAAACATATAATTGTGGTCTTCATATGGTAAACTGTTAAGAAAAATTGCTGAAAGAAAATACAGCATTGGCCCCTCAGGAGTCATATGAAGTTCTACTACTTGTACAGTTGCCCATGGTCATTACTAGTTCAGCAGGTGGTCAGTAAATTAAACCTACGGCATTATAAACTTCTATAAGCATGAATGCAAAAATGGTAATTCAATTACTTCACTAAAATGTGTAGCGTTATATATCAAATAACATATCTAAAGAGCTGTTTTTCTCATTTAGATCCCCTGATTGTCATACATTAGATTTTAATGTGGCTTGGGAGCTCACACAGGTTGGGAATAGACTGTATATGTTTTACACATTATACCTATACATTGTATACTTAAATATAATTACGTTTATTTCAACAATACTTAT